CCCCCGCCGACGTCGCAGACTGGCATGACGAGGTGGTGGCTACTGGCCATTCCGAATCCACACTGCAGTGTTGTTGCAGAGGGGGATGTCTGTCGCCGTTCCGAATCTGCAGGAGGCGGAAGACGGTGGCTGAGGGCGAGGAGGAGGGTGGCCGCCGTCGTTCCAAACCTAAGCGGAAAGGGTTTTTACGGCGGCGGGGGAGGAGACAGAGAGAGGGAAAGGATAGAAAGAGAGAGAGAGAGAAATTCTAATTTTTTAATTGTTTTAAATGATTTGTTAGCAGAATTTTTAAATGTAATGAAAATTTGACATCATATTGATGTATCTAAGTGATACTAATATAGGTCAAATTTTTCACTCAGAAAAATAAGATCACATAAAATTCAACTATTGTATTAACTGAATTGGTTGAAATGGTAAACTTAACCCAATACTAATCAGTAATCAAGTCTTCTGAAAACTACTTTAAATACTCTTCAACTAAAATGAAAGATGCTCTAAAATAGTTATGGACACTTAAAAAAGACATTGAGAAACTATCCAACAGATGCTATACATGAAATTCCTTGAGAAAGAGTAGAATGACTGCTGCAAATATTGTGTCAATCAAACCACATAACTGACCTGATATGCCATTTGATTCAGCAGAGCTGCTTTGGATTGCTGCTGCTTCTGTGGGTATTGCTGCTGCTTCTGTGGGTATTGCTGCTGCATCGCTCACCTCAGGTAGAGGTAACTCACAGGCCCCAAATCTCATATTTTTCTGTATATTTGTTCATCAGAACCAGAATTTTGGTCAGCTTTTAATGCCTGGAGATATCAGCCATTCTGGTTATTTAGACCGTTTTCTTTTCGGGTCGCAATGCTGTTGGTTTCATTTGTTTTATTAACCTTCTTCTAGATTCAACCTTATCTGCCAAATTCAAACTTGGGTAGATGTTGAAAGTAAAGGGGATTCGATTTTAATATGCAGAAACCAGAAAGTGATTTTAGGGGTTGCAAGAAAAAGTTCCTATATTGATTTTAGCAGTGACTGCTAACCTTGCAATTGGAAATGTTTGGACATCCACAAATGGAGTGACCGTTTGTTATATCAACGGCTTCTGCAGCTCCTCCCCCGTCGCTCCTCTGAAATATACATAACAAATTGAACTATGTTTAGTGTTCATTAATTACCAGTTTCCAGAGGAATTTGAAGTTTACCTTGTAGAAGTCAACAGCAATGAAGTTGGGCCATCTTTTTCCTGCTGCATTATAGCAAGTGTTCACCATGTTGCGTAGTGGAGCTGAGTTATCCTTGCAAGCTTCAGGGAAATTTGCAGCGCTTCTGAAGAAATTTATAAGCACTAGAGACCTTGATGTAGTGTTCATCGGAGGCGATTCTCCTCGGTTTGGGCATGAACCTGCTCTCATTCCTTCATCCCCGTCTGCAGAACGACCAAATCGATAAGAAAAGCTATTGGATTTTCGAAGTTCAGTTTGGTCTGCTGGATTATGAGATGACTTACATTGGTTTTCTACCACGTATCTCCATACATATGCAATTCCTTCAGAGGCTTCTTTCCACGCTTTCGAAGTAAAAACAAGCAACCGTTGGTTTTTCTGGATCATATCACTAACTGTGGGCCAGTTTCCACCATTCTTCGGCATTCTCCACACCGGGAACAAGAATTTTGCCAGACCAGCAGCAACAAACACATTAGTTAGGCCCTTTGGTGATGTGACATAGTCTTCAATTATAACAGTGACGATTTCAGACGGGTTTGCTTCGAGAAATGCTTGGATCTCTTTGAGAACATTAATGGCAGGTTGCTGGTCATTTAAAGTTTTGCATCAACTTGTTCAAAATAACATAAACCAGGAAATGAACAGAGCATATAGAGCCAATTCAGAACACAAAATAGCAGTATGCAAAATGCACACTTACAAAAGCTGTATAGTTGTAGCATTGGCCTCCGAAAGAGTGACATAACCAAATATCGTTTTCAAAGTCATACATATCAAGCATCAATCCTCTGACGCCATTCTGCAGATTGAAAATTGAACATTACAAAGGATAATGCACTGGCTTATTAACAATTAATATGCAGTGAAAAAAAAATTAATTCAGAATTTTACTGAACATCTTTGTATAAGTATATATTCTTTTACAACCATGGTATGGGGAGTGGGGTGTTGTGCCCCAACATCAGTATGAAATACTTTTTCTTTCTTTTTTTCCCTTTTAATAAATGGGAGTCAGAAGTTTGTTTCCCTACATGCACCCACCTCAAGACTCGAACCTAGGAGATATCAAGGATTTTTGAAATGAAGCTCACCAAAAGACCAAAAGATCTCAAACCCTTTCCAAGAGGTTGCTCATTAGATAAAATACTCTATTAAAGGTTAGGACATTTGCATTTTATTGAGATCTCCTAGTTACTTTGATCATAACCATCTAATCTAATACAAACAACTTTCATCAAGCCACGGAAAAGTCGTGTGTATTCAATGAGGATGGAGAAATTCGAACCTTTAACTTTAGGGAGATAAATGATGTCTTCATTAGTTGAGGTAACATTAACTCTTGATGCGATTATAGATTGCATTAAAAATGAGATTTTTTATTAATAAAACCATATGTATTTCGCCCTGTTAGAAGGGTGTTAAGATATCTCGTGATAATGCCCTGCTTTGGCAGTAATTCTGTCTTTAATTTTATGTTTTAAAAAATTAAGGCTGTACTGTATGCTAATATTTTCTACCTTTTCAAAGTTTAACCAAACTAGAAAATAAAAAGAAAAGGAGAAAAATAAAAGGTTTCCAAGAACAAGAACTACTTTTATTAGTTTTTTTTTTAATTAAGAATTAAAAAAAAGGTAGGTTACAAAAGGAAAAAGTAATTAATAAACAAATTCATTTTCTTAACAAACAAAAACAAATAAACATGAACAAAACAGTTATCAACCAACCCTAAAGAAATATGCTTTTGCTTAAAGATATATCATTCTTTCAGGTACCATTCTGGATGGCAACATGAATCTCAACATGCCTTTTGCAAGAGTCAAGAGAGCATCATCATTATATTTGAGCACTATAGTTTCAGTAGTTGCCAAGCGACTTATCTTTCCTCCTAATTAAAATAGAAAACCAGGACCAAAAATTTCCCGACACATGAAAGAGAGAGAATCTCTTACACACTAAAGCCAAAAGATTACAAGCACATGAGAGAGAGAGAGGCCATATGCTTATTTGAAAATGGATAGGACAAGAAAGGAGTGGAGCATTCAAGTGAATGAGTCACGCTCGCACCATAAATGAGAAAACAATAGAAGAACAAATCAGAGACCACACGCCTAACCAATATTTATAATGAGTAGTGGAATAAATCTACTAGTTGTTCTGTAGGTCTAAGATATCGGCTGAGTTGGGCTGGCAAGCAAAGATTTTCCTGTTTCTTTCATTTAAAATAAAGTAACCTAAAACATGCTCTCACTAGAAGTAGATTCCACCCGCCCAACTAATCAAAATATAACTTATCTCTCTATTAGAGGTTCAAATTTTCACAGGTGCGTAGCACAAAATATTAAAATTCTTAATTCTTAATATATTTAAATCTAAGGCACATGAAACGGACAACTGTCCCTCTCCTTTACTTTTTACATAGGTCGATTTTAATTGGCAGATGGAATTAAATTAAGGGCAATAAATATGCTAATTCAAATAATACAAGATATGGGACCAATTCAGTTCGACCTTATGGGTTGACATTTGGGCAGGACTACATTGGTTTTAGTCATTTGGGTCGGTTGAAAAAAAATTAAAAAGTTATTTAGTAATATTCTAAAGATATATTTATACATGTTAACATGCCGAATCAAGAATAGTAATTGAATATCATATATCATTTCAAGGACAAAAACTATATTTGGAACGTAGAAATGCTCTAGAAGGACGCATGTAGTGAAATAAAATCAGCAAGAGATCAAATCTGGATGAATTATCAAGTACTTCTATCATAAAGTTAAAAAGAAAAAAAAAAACTAAAAGAAAATTAATAAATTTGATTCGGATCAATCCTAAAAGATTTTAGAAAATAAATCAACTCCATTCATCAAGGAAAATTAATCTAATCAAAATAAGCTTACTATATTTTTCTTTTTTTAATTATTTGGTGAGTGCTCGAATCAATTCCAACAACTTTCAACAAAATTTACAAGCCAAACAAGTTTGACTATTCATTCAAATACATAGTCACATAATTTTAATTGATTATGACATCCATCCCTTAAAAATAATGAAAGTTCAAATTCTTATCCTAAAACTTGAACTGAAAAAAATCATCAAAAGTAAATTTGAAAAAATCCAACTAGCAAAGTATTGGGGGTAAAGGACCCGTCAAAACTTAAATTCTCTTCCCCGATTACCATTATATTAATCTCTATTTCTATTTTTACATGTTTGCCATTTTTGGCAGATAGTTTTCCTAATTCTCCAAGATTTCATTTATACCCACATCAGTACATTCTCAAAAGAACTCAATCTAATTTTATTTCTACCTAAAACGGGGGGAAATGCGAGCAAATTAGGGTTTGAAGGAGGGAAAAACAGAAGATATTTTGGAACTTTTCCAGTTACAGACAATGAGCAAAGTGATCCCAAGATCCTGAATCTTGTGCAATTTTCAATGAAAGAGACGATAAGACTCACCGCCAGACCGCCCAATAAATGTTCTAGAACTGTTAATTTTCCCTTTCCACATTTCACTTTACTCCTCTCGAATATCCCGCGACCCAAACAGGAGAAAGAAAACATATAACGAAGAGGAGTAAAAAGGAAAGTCAGTAACGTACATTAAGCTGGCTGGTAATGGAGTCTTGCTGATTCGTAGGAGCAAGAATCACAGAGCCAGTAGCCGATTTCGCTCCTAACTTCGCGAAGGAATTGTGTGTCGTCAACCACGCGTACTGATTAAACGGCAGATCCTTAACCTGCTCCAAACATTATTCCAATATCAAAAAATCAAAAAACCACAGCTCGAAAAAGGGGAAAACAAAAATCAATCGCAGCCGTTACGGACTTCTGAAATCGGACTAATTGGCTGGATCCGAGTACAGCGCGGGCGCACATTGCCGTCGGCGAAGCAGGTCTCGCAATGCAGGCCGGCGTCGCAGTTTCTGTTCACAATACACGTCCGTCCCTCCTAAGAGATCAAACCCAAGCAATTCCAGATGAAAAATTCCACAATCTCGAAAAAGGATTAAAAAAAAAAAGACGAAGTAGTTCCGATTGCAGACGAATGAAAGGGAAAACGAACCTTAAGAGCCGACGAAGAATCAAAGAGAAAGACGAAATGTAACAGAGTCAGTCCCAGAATGACTCTCTTGGAGAAATCACGATGCTCCATAGTGGGATTTGTTTGGCGGGAGAGAAAAAATCGCGAATATATTCTGAGTGGATCGCTGAAATTTTCCCGGAATGGAGGTGGGAGAGAAAATTGGGAGAGGCGGAAGTCTTTGGAGTAACGAAACGAGAGTTCACACGGCGGACTCGGAGGATATGCTTTCATGGACTCAACGGTATAGCGCGCACAATCGTACGGATATTTAATACCCTCCCTGCACTTTCTCAAACTTTTTAAAATGATGCAACGGTTTAATTTTATTTTTTTCACCTAACGTTTGTCTTATTTTATTTCAATGATTGAATTTTGATTTGTAAAGATTTAGTCTCTGTGATTTGAATTTATAACAATTTAATGCCTATATAAATATCGATTTTTAGTTTTTATAATTTATAAACACATTTGATTCTTCGTAGGTTTATCGATCTACATGTATAAAAAATTTAACAAAAAAAATTTCACCATAGATAGAGATTAAATCATTACAAACTACGGAAATTAAATAGTTACGGACAATAACTAAATCGTTACAAACTGAAATTGAAGATCTAAGTCATTACTTTAATAAATGTACAAGACCGAATATGTTTTTAACCTTTATTTTAGTGTCTAATATTTTAAAATATTTATTTTATTCACTAAACGTTTAAAATATAATCGATCTTTAAAAAGTTATTATTTTGATGAGTCATTTACAAACTTCCATCAAATTATTAGTCTCTTTGATCCAAATGCAATAGGTTCATCAAATACATCATTTTCTACAAATATTTTCGCTCCTATCAAAACTCTTGATCAATCGTAAAACTCTTCGAATTTGATATGAAATTTTATTATCTCGTACATTAATTCAAGACATAGCTTATAAGTTAAAAGAACTATTATTAACCATCCAAAACATATGCATCATATAAAAGTGAGAATTGAAGTACTCAAAAGTGAGAGTATTAAAAATATTATGAAGAGAGAACATGATAGTTCAAAGGGGCACGCAAAATAAACAAAAAGAATTTCCTTCTAAGAAATACTAACCCTTTATCCTTAACCAAACGCCACTTTATATGTGGATATATTTATGGACTCTTCTAAAAGATTCCTTTTCATAACCAAATCAACCCTATTTTAGTATTTTTTTTTCTTTTTTTCCCTTCCCAAATTAGTCTAATTAAACTGATCGCCTCAATCTTTATGGTCAGTCCTTTGATCATCGTAAAGTAGTGCCTGTGAAACTCTTGAGAGTAAGGATAGTGATCTTGTGTTTATACATAGTATTTATGGTTGAGTCCGTCCAATCCAATTAAGAAGGACTAAACTTGACAAACACATATTTTTATTTTTGAGAGGATATATTCCAAGTAATGGGTACCTTCATAATACCTCAATTCGGTCGCCGACTCGAGTCTTGTATGAATATGCAAGAATGAGTGCTCCTATGTTTGTATAGGGTTTAAACTGATCGACAAGAAAAAGGAAAGTGTACCTAATTAAGGATTAACCTAAATTCGTAAGCTAAGCTACCGACTTTAAAGTCAATAGTCAAGGATATGGCAATAAATTTTTACAAATATGGGCAGAATTTTACATTCCAACTAACCTATTGATAAATTAGATATGTGTTTCATATACTTTGTTATGGTATGTTTTATAATAAAATAAATCGTTATTATAAGATTTTATTGTTGTATTATTACATTGATCTACACTAAAGATTATTGGTGTAATGGGTTTGATACGTTCGGCCTTTGAAAAACTGTCGTTTAGTGGGCTTTAGAAGTTTGACCTTAAAGAAATTTTGTATAGTGGGCCTTATATCAAAAATGAATAAGGTGAGGTTGAACATTACCAGTTGAATTGCACTCAGACAGATTCAACCTTTTAATATTTTAGTAATATATTAAAAATAATTTTTCTTTTTAATCCAACATGTAAGTTGGAGATGAACTCACAATCTCTTACAACTTCGTGATTAAAGATATATGCCAATTATAGCTAACTATAAATCCATTAATTGAACCTTTCTAGAAAAAATCCACTAATTGGACACACATTAATTTCTTTATAATCATTAAATTTCAGGCAGAGAAGTTAAAAATGGTAGTTTGACATGTTCGAGATTGAGGGGAGGTTAAGCGTTAATATTATGAACAGAACGTTGACTTAGCATAATCTATGACATGACAATTAATATAAAAACTTATTTGGATCAATTCAAAGAAAATAGAGAAGAAGTTATCATTAAGAAAAATATTAGGGAAAAATTGGGTAGACAATTTGAGAATGACTCTCTTTGACAATGGAGGAAGAAAAGTTTTAGAACTAAATTGAAACCTCCCGTTTGGTAACATTCCTATTTCTTGTTTCTCGTTTCTAATTTTATTAAGAGATCTAAACCTTTGACAAGTTATTTATGTTTCTTGTTTATCATTTTTTTTTAGAAACAATCTCAAAATTGTACATAAATTTTGGAAACAACACCAACAAGTTTCTTATTTCTTGTTCTCATTTTCAATTTGTTCCAACGTAAATAAAGATTTTGTTTTATCACTCTTGAATCTATAGATAACAGGATCATACAATTCTATATTTCTTGATTAAAAAATAGGAAACAAAAACAAGAAATGAAAATGTTATTAAACAGGTCTATTGTCCCGTTAACTTTCAGTTCAAAAATATGAACATAAGTCTCTTTATATATGCTTTATAATTTAGCCTAGAATATTATTTGTGGAAAGAGAAAGAAGACGGGAAATAAACATAGAAAGAGTACATTATTTGATGTCCTAAAGAAAACCTGTGACACAATGTAGAGAGAGAGAGATGCTTTGGGCGTAGCGGCGGCAGAAACAGTGGGCGCCACGCCACAGCACCCACTTCCACCATAATCTCACATGCTCTCAATTGTCACTTCCAAGGAGCTGATTTTGGACATTTTACATTTCATTTTTCTAATCAAACAACTCTCCATCTCTTCCATCAATGCAATATGTGTCCATTTTAGAGAGAGTGGAAAAGGGGTTCGGCCTGTATGGCTCTTTTTTTGTGTCTCTGCTGTGTGCTGTAAATGTAATGCTGGTGTTACAGAGAGAAGAGAGGGAGATTTACATTTCAAATTTCTAATGGAAGAGAGCAGATTCCAGCACTGAAATGTCTGTCAAAACTTTGAGAGCAACAGACAGAGAGAAGGGAAAAAGGGATTTGCTTTTATGGGTTTTTTTTCCCTCTCTGCTGTAGACTATAGTATAAATGTATAATGCTTCTACAGAAGGGGTTTTTGTTTATATGGGTATTTTTACATCTGATTCAGTATAATGCTCACACAAAACAGAGAGAGAGAAAAGGGGGATTTAGAATGAATTCGTGTATTAAGTATGAAAAAGAGAGAAAACGTAGAAAAAGCTATTAGATAATGAATGAAGAAACAAACTCTCTTAAGAAGAGGACTTTCAAATTGTCTACCACGTCAACTTTTTGCTTCTTCAACTTGTATGTTTGAAATGTTTATTAAAAGTTAAAGGATTATATTGAAGTTTTTAAAAGAATAGGAGCATTCTTAAACATAAAGGAGTTTGGGTATCTTTTTATAATTTAGCCTAATTTATATGTCTCTTTCTCTCTATTGTAATGTACTACAGTGGTACACAGATAGTGAGAGAGGGAGTGATTTTGTTGATATGGGTATTTTTCTCTGTGATCTAGTATAGTACCACAGAGAGATTGAAGGGAAAACAGGGGTTTTGTTTATATGGGTCTTTTTTCGTCTGTTCTAGTATAAATGTATAATACTAAACAGAGAGAGAGAAAAGGGGGAAAGGGGTTTTCCTTTATTCGTCGTTTTCGCTCTGTTTCACTATAATGCAACAGAAATAATGAAATATAGAGAGAGAAAAACAGGGGTTTTGTTTATGTGGGTCTGTTTCTCTTGCTAAGAGAGATGGAGAGAGCTGTGTTTTGCTCCTTTCTCTATCTGCGTCATTTTCTCTCCGCTATAATTACACGCTACGCAGAGAGAGGAGAGAGAAAGAGAAGGGGAAATGGATATGTATTTGTCTAATTACAGGTCTTTTTTCTCTCTGCCATCTATAATCAAACTGTTTTTGACCCATTTTCTGCGCTTGCCGCAGTCTGTTTGTCATTATTTTATATTCTTCTCAGGTGGGTTTGTGTTTTTAACTTCGACATGAAGTCCTAAACGGATGATTTCATATAATTTTCAACAATTGGACTCTATTATAGGACGAAAGCTGTGATGAGGCTTAAGAGTAGGCTTTCTAAAGAGATTCTTTGGCTGAGGCTTAAGAACTTTACATTCATGTGATTCTCAGAAAAGAAAAACTTCTTTAGGATAACGTGTCTTTATGTACCTTTCTCTTGTAAAATTCAAGATTCGCGTTTTCACTTTTAATGACCGTTCCCTTTTGTTTTGGTATCTAAATCTGGTTCTTTGAACGACTGTAGCTGACCAAGATTTAATGTCGATTTTTTAAAGCCATTGATAACATGAAAAGTTCCAATAAGTGAATATGATAGCAAATAATGTCTGTATTTTGTCAGTGTTTTCTATTTAGAATGTCATAAATTAATGAGAAATAAGACCGTATATTGTCTAACTTCGTATTCTACTAATCAATGGAATAAATGCACTGTGAAGATTGTCCGATTGGTTGGTGATTTTTGACGTCATTGTTCATAAAGTTGCAATTTGCAAACGAGAGCAAACAATCGAGGATGAATTTAATTCTCAAGAGGGTCTCTTTTTTAGTCAACTTTGCTTCTGTAATCTTCTTCTTCCAATACCCAAATTCTAATTTCCTTTTTTTTCTCTCTCGCTCTCTCTTTTCTCCTTTATAATTGTTAGTGGCACTGCCATGGGTTTTTGGGTCCTACTTATATTCCATGAAAGATGTAATCATGAAACTAATTTGGAAGAAACGGGTTTTGAAACTTTGAAACGCGTCCACGGTTGAACTACTCGCACTCACTCACGCGCCTGAAAAATTGCTCCCTTCCTCACTCTCCTTTTGATTCCTTCTGAAATGAGCTAACGTAAACCGCCGCCTCTA